CCCAGCTTTTTTTCTGTTCATATTCTTAAAAATGTCAGCTACTGAAGTAATTTAGTTTTTTGACACCAACGGTTGTAGCTGTCACATTTTCCAGAAAGAAAACAACTTCTTATGATAGTATGTTTTCATCGGGTAAGCAGAAAACCATATAGGTGGGCCTTTTGTTTGCGAAATAAGTTGGAACGACAGGAAATTTTATAATTTTTTCAGTGTCTATTTCGCCTGGGTTTAGAGCGATGTTTCAAAGCATTCGTTGTCGAGGTCTTTGATGGGCCAAATCTTCTCTGAGGGAAATAAATTCAAGGCCGCCAAAATGTAAAAAACGCCGTGCACTAGAAAAGTCGTGTGAATGCTTTGATGGACTTTGTATTGACTGCATAGTTGGACTTTGCGAATCCCTGGCCAGTGTAGAGAGAGCTTCTAACCTTTGGCAACATTTGACTTCCTGTCAGCTTTGGCACTGGTGAATGGCATATTTTTAAGACTGAAGTATTTTGGACCAAGAGAGAAACCGAACCTCCTAAGGCCTCAATAAGTTACTCAAAGACTTATTCCTGTATGCCGTCATTTTTAAAGTTCATGCTTTCAGCGTCATGTCTCGCTTAATGCATCACGCAAATTTTGCAACTTCTCTTTGCTAGAGCTCTATCTTGGTCGTGGGAGATCTATACCACGACCTGTCGGTGAGCGCCCCTCAATTTAACCGATGGGACAAAGAGCCCGTTTCTCGGTGGTTCGAGACGTTATACTTCCGTTCCGTAAAAACGATCGGCGAGCGTCCCCCTACCAAGCTGTCATAATATACTGTTCCATTAATCTTATAAAGTAAAGTTCACTCGCTAAGAAATTAAAATGTCTTTAAGAACAGGAAATGCCTTATCAAATTAAAAAATTCGTCAGCACCAGATAAGGCAAAATACAACTTAGGGATAATTTTGCATTGCAATATAAAGATCATAATATATTCAATTTATAAGGAAGGCTTAAAAACAATTTCTCAATTGCTATCGTACTTAGTCAAATGTATATGACAAACAAAAACATTTTAAAAACTTATCATCAGATTAAACCGATTTTTTAAATGGGAGTTAGATTTAACTACTAGCAATGTTTTCTTGTTTGTCAGAAAAAAGTATGGAACTTTACTGGTCACTTTTTGATAAAAAGGCCGTCTAATTCCGCAGGGCTATGCGCATCACGGTGAATATATTGAAAAGGACAAAAAGCATAACTATCAGGATATTAGACTTATCTAAACTAAATAAGTTAACTTTTGTCAAAAGACCACTTTTAGGCTACTAAACAGAAAGAGTGACGTGCTTTATATTCAGGAACACACAGTGCTGTTATTTATTATAAACAAAAACGTCCAGGGTGTATAACATATATTTTGAAACATTTACTTTACCAAAGTCTAATTATTAAGTCATTTTCGACTGTGAAAAGTTTTTAATTGCTGTAAATAAATCAAAATACAAAATTACAGAATTCTTTAAAGTGTGCGCATGACAAAGTTAATAAAACGCGCTTCAAACTAATACCTCTCTAGATTACTCATGAAACGACTTGTATTAAGTGTCCCAGATAGTAACTTTTAGCATGAATCAGGAAGTTTTGATGACGGCTCGGAGTTAAGTCGATAATACTTTATGAGTCAGGTTCTGGCTTAAAATTCTGATGAACATTTACTGATGGCTCGTCTGCAGTCCAACAAAAGGGCAACTAACTTTGTCTTTAAATGATTCGATATGATTAACACTTGATTTCTTTTATATAAACTTTAGATACTGTTACTACGTAGGTAAGACCTCAAAGCGTTTCTGAGCAAATGGGAGGTAACGGTATATAACAGGCATATTAAGGACCTTTGCCAATATTTTATACCTGAACTTTCGTTCTAAGTGTAAACAAACACGTCAAGAAAATCATTTAAATTACTTGCAATATTTCGGCGTCCTCTAGTAAGTTAGCGGTTGCACTCAAAGCGCTCAAATGCAATTCGGTAGAATCCGGATTAGACAAAATCCCGAGCAGTATTGGAAGAATTTTTATCTCTTCGGCCATTTCTCGTAATTTTTCTATAAAAGGCCGCCAAAGAAATAAGCGTTTTGGTTACGTTAAATCAGTGCTTCGCTCTTAAAATTTCGAATTCTAGAATTACCCAAAGCTTAAATCTTGCTCTCTATCCAAAGCTGAAAATATTTTAATTAGGGCCAAATCACTCATTTCAAAAACGGTTTTCCCAATGCGGACGTTGACATCCCTACTTAATATACTTTTTTGCTAACTCAAAGACTAAAGATTAAAAACAAAGAGGTGACTTTCCTTACAGTACTTACAGCACTTACAGTGCTGGTGACGGTGTTTCGTCATTAAACACTGACGACTCCATGGTTGCGTGCATTTGGAACCATACTGGTTTTTTTGGGAACACGCATGCGTATTTTATTATAATAATATGAATAATCGCTAACAATATATATATATATATATACATATACATATTTAATAATTATTCATTAAGAATTGCATTAAACAAACACGTCTATTCGAAGTGTCTCAGACGTCTGGCTAATACACGTTGCAGTCGTTAGTGGAAGACTTAACTTAAGTTTGTAAAATTTCGGCAGTCACAAGAGTAATTCAGAAATTGTGTAATTTAAGACTTGATTTCTAGGATGGACTTTAGCCAGGTCAACGTTAGTTTGACAAATCATCTCAAAAATAGGCTCAATAAATACTTACTGTCGAGAAAAGCTTGAGACGAAGCCTCTAAAGCCAACTTTTGAAGCGTTGGAAATTCTGAATTGATGAGACCAACGACCGCAATGAGGGAGTTATTGTCAAGCAATTTATGGCGTATGTCAAAGTCCTAGCAGCTGAAATATGACTATTAAGATTACCCGTAGCATTTGAACCAAAACTTCCAACGCATTCTTTTTTATGTCCGGATCTTCCGAAGATAAGAATCCGGTGACCAGTTCTAAGCCTCCGTTCTCAAAAATTTGGAGGATTGAGGCGTAATTTTTGCACATATTCGAAAGAAACTGGAGACCAAATTCGTGTGTTGTAGAAAATTCTAACGAGTTATCAAGTTGATGAAATTACCATCCTGGTCAAAAACCTTCAAAATTGTCTTAATCAAATTCGGAATTTTTTGAAATGTCGTTTGTCCGATTGTTAACTCCGACAGTTTTTCAAATACCATTATCGTGTTACGTTTCACAGTTTTATTTTCACTTAAGAGAAGAGGCAAGGCCGCTTCAGTTTGCAAGTGGTCTAAAACAAGTCTTTTGTTTTCATCAGCTTTTTAAATTAGTTTTAGAAATCCCATACCTTTCGCCGCAAATCTAAAAATGGATTCTGTTGCCCTTATTTGAATTTCGTCTTCGGTGCTTTGGAGCATGAGTATCGCACTCTTGAGTTGGTGGATTTCTAAAATCAGCGGATCAAACTAAAAATAAGCATACGAAATTTAAATTACGTTATCTTCCTGGGGCTTCTCGACCACTTTAGTTCGCCTAACGGATGCCATCCCCACTTTTTAAGTACGTACCACTGCAAGCTCTATAGTGTCAGTAAACAAAGTTTTTCAAGGTCGAAACCCATAGCAAGCTTAAAGTGGTTCGAGCTGCTGCACCAGTCTTAAGTTTGCTCAAGATGAAGATGTTGTAATAAATGTTGGTTTGTCGTTTATTTTGGAGCCTACATGAAGATGGCTCCTGCACAGACCGAGGTCCAAACTAAGACCTGGGTGCACCCAACAAATACTTACAATGTGTTTGGACGGCATTGAAACAATGGGCAATAATATTGGCGAGGGTCCGAATAACAATAATCCTAAAAGCAGTCAGTAAAGTAGGGAAGAGTGGAAGCTTTTCGTTTTATGCAATAAGACTGACAAGAAGAAACCATCCTCTGACTCATAGGCCAAACCGCGTAAGTATTGTTCAAACATTTCGAATACGGCCGTAATATATCGCTGACTCATTTCTGACGATACCTCTTAATAAGAAGTAGAATCAGTCGCGGGAACAAGAGCTTTCTTCGTCTTACGTTTCGGATTCACGTTCGATTATATCATCAGAGACAGTGACACATAGGGGATATTCGCGCACAGGTAGTTGCAATAATAATAGAATGCAGTTGATATGCCACTGCATACCTATGACAATTAACCGCCCTCCCCCTCATCGAGGATTATTCCTCATTGATGCGCTAAATGCTTGATGGCCGGCATGTAGGTTGTTTATTGCAAGTGACGGCAATCAGACGTCAATGCCATCTACCAGATCTCAATAAATGTATCGTCATAAAGGGTATGCTTAAGTCTGCTTCGGACACACAAAAGAACAGAAAAATTCATGAAATGGAATTGTTCCAGTAATACTTCAAATCCAAATACAAGAGAACGAAGACAGCATCTTATTTAAAGCCTTTAGAAGAAGACGAATTTAACATTCAAAGGATGTGTTTAGCCAACACAGACCACCAAATATTGTTCTCTAAAATGAGGAACAAGAGCTGCTACCGCTGAGGAGGAAGCCAATGCTCCGAAACGCCCGCCCAACAACTTTTTTCAGTGGGATTTTTCACCGCCCGAACGGGGGGAGTGGAGGGAGCTCAAGGCAGAATTCCTCAGAAGATCCAATGCCGGCGAGAACAATCTAAGAAAATTGGATCGGAATATCGTTAATGTTCGGAGCTCATTCCCCTGAGGACAGCCAAAAACACTGATTATAGTGGACAACCAGATTATGTAAAAAACTTTCCTATCTGCCCAATTAGCAACTGAGAATGAAGGCCGAGAGTGTGACGTCCAGTTCATTTAAACAGCAACAGATCCCGAAAGGGAATATGGACTCAGTAAACCGCACGAAGGATCCAGTAGCCTCGATTCAAAAATCGCTAGGAAGTCTTCCAAATTAAACTTCGTCTTTTTATATACGAATGCGCAGAGTTTGTTTAAGAAAAATGACCTGAAGGCGTATGTATCAGATATGCAGCCGGATGTTATTTCTATCACAGAGAATTGGTTACAGGCTGAAGCCTTGGATGCTGAAATCGCTCTCGGTGAATACTTAATTCTTCGTCGAGATAGGCTGCATAAAAAGAAGGAGGACCAGCGGTCTGCGTCAAGAGAGGAATTATTGCCTCAGGAGACAAAGCTGATCGGTCTCACTTACAGTATGCAGTTCAGGACTGGCGACCGTGACTCAAGAAGAATTATCGACTTTTGGAAAGAGTACAGGCGATGGCTGCAAAGGTTGTTAAGAATCTTGATCATCTGCCATATGAAGCAGGACTGGTTAAACTGAATCTGTTTCCGTGCAGTTACAAGCAACTGCACATTCAAAGCTACCGACGTTTCAGGGCTGTAGGTGTGCCCTAGAATTTGGGGGCTTGTTTAAACTGGCTGAGACAGACCGCCTGCGTTGTCATCCATAAAAACTGCACAGGAAGCTGACCCATACGGACGTCTGACAAAAGTCCTTCTCGCAGAGAGTCATGGGACTTGGAAACGAATACCTATGCGGTGGTTTTTTGAGACTGTTGAATCCTTTAAATAGAGACTAGACGCTCATTAGTTGAGAAAGTCCTGTACATTTAATCACGATTTCGTTTTCTGTTTATTCAGTTCATTTCGTAAGGACAATAGGCAAAGTCTTTAAAACCCCTATTGATCACATGTCAGCCCATTAGGTACAACCGCACACGAGCAATGAAAACATTCGCTGTTAAAACAGCACTTGATTCATTTAAGTAGCATTGTTTCAGATAAATATTTCCATTTGCGTGAAAAATTCAGAATGAAGATTCAGCCTGGACATTGTTGTCCGTAGCTTCATCGAATGATCACGAAGATTAAATAACAAATGCCACTGAAGGATGTGCTAAAAGTAAAGTCCATGCTCAAGACCATGTATCATCTTGTAGATGAGGACAAGATCGCCTCTTTGTTGCCTTTAACACAGAGGGGGTAAATTAAGGCAATTTGGTGTCCCTATGTAGGATTGGTTTTGTAAACCGTTTATCAGCTTTGTTGCACGCCTTGTACCCGTTTAAGGCCTGCTTGGTCCTTTACTACCCATGGCCGCCATGCTTGTTTGCTATATTTTAGGTAGGGCCGAACAAAAGTGCCGTTAACTCTCCCAAAAGGGTCTCGGTCAAAGTTTACGAAAGCCCTTTTGATTGCATGCAGCACTCCCGTGACGTTTTTTGCAGCCTTGTGGCACTGCAGTGTTGGTTTCAGGTTGTTCTGTATCCAAACCCCGAGATCCCTCTGTGAAGATTCTGCAGGGAGCCTTATATCTTTCGAGTGATATGTCCTCAGGCTCTCATTTGAATGAGAGTTGGTTGGACGCAGATGAAACACGGCACACTTCTGCACATTGAAATCTAGAAGCCATTTCTCCGACCACGGTTTCAGTCGATGCAGATTGTTTTGGGGGGTTCTCTGGTCGTAAGGACTCTTACTAACTTGCCAAAGCTTAAGGTCATCGCAAACATTATTTTACCGCAGTCGAGTCCCTGTAGGTTGTCATTAACATAAAGGATGAAGAGTGTAGCGGCTAAGCCGTGATGGTGTACGCTCAGTACGCCACAACATCAGGCAATATCCCAAGTTGCTAGAAGCAGGACACCAGTTGAAGAGGAAAATGATTTATTTGTTCTGTGCTGAATAAGGAAGGGAAGGTGGCAACCGGACGAGGCTGCGTCCGGCGCCGCGGAGGCGGCGTCCGCGAGAGGGACGAGCCGTGTGTCGCCGAAGGTCGCCGCTGCAAAAGTGTTGTGGCCTTCTTGCCTCTGTGCTGTCTGTTCCAAATCACGTCCGCAGGGGCGGCGACCCGTATGTGCACTTGTGACCAATCAGCGATAGAAAGTTGCGTTGATTGGCTCCAAGCCCGTGCGAAGGTGGTGGCAAATTATCGACCAAGAGTGTGGCATGGACGGGAGTGCAAATCGAGGGTAAGCGAGCGCAGCCGTGGCGCGTAAACAGTAGAACGAAGGGACAGAGAAAAGGCTGCTAGCGAGAGGCGTGACGTAGCCATGATGGCTGTCCACAAGAGCAATGGCCCCAGAACTGAGCTCTAAGGCAGACTACTGGTCACTTTCACCCTGTCTGACGCCCTTATCCAGTTCAGATGATCTCTGCGGATACCGATGGCGCTCAATTTGTGAAGAAGACTTTGGTGCGGACCAGTATCAATAGGTTTGCAAAAATCGACATACACGACATCGACCTGAAAACCCTCTTCTAGAGCCCTGATCCAGATCTCCAGACAAGCTAGCAGATTTGAGAGGCTGGAACGTCCTCTCCGGAAGCCATGTTGAAAATTCTGTAAGATGCTATTTTCTTCACAATATTGCTGGATTGCACTCCTTACTAGAGCTTCCATCGTTTTTCAAGGGAGATAAGTTAAGCCTATAGGCCTGAAGCTGCTTGTTGCCCTCCTGCTTCCTCCCTTATGTAGGGAAACGAGGTTGGCTGTCTTTCACTGTGAGGGCAGCCTTCCGGTTCACATTGATATCTTAAAGTCGAAGGAGGCTTTGGCAGCTTTGTTTCTACCCCTTTAAGTATCAGTCCAGAAATCCCGTCTTGGGACAAGCAATGGATTCTGCTACCAGTCGGCGCTCGAAAGAAGTTATAGCAACCCGTATTTGTTTGCGGTATTCATTGCGCTGTTTCTTATATTTGACGAATGACCTTGGAAATCGAAGTTGCAAATACTTTTTCCATAGTCTCTGTTTCTTCTTCGTGGTCTTTTTTGTCGTCAAACTGACCCACGGCGATCGCGCACATGATCTTATTATTTTTATTGGACAATGGGGAGCAATTAGACGCTCTATAATCCCGCGAAAGTACTGCCAGAATTCTTCTAAATCTTCCATGTTGACTAACCAGGTTCCCTTTAAAAGAGTACGTCTCATTGCTTTAAAGCCACCCCTCCAAATATTTCTGCCCCTCTTGATTCTTGTTTGTTGGTTCGATTGGAGAGAGCATACTCAGGTAAAAGCAATGTGATCGTATAAACCGAGTGAAAGTAGTGGATTCACTTCCCTTATGGCCTCTTCTTTACTGAATGAACGAGATTTAAACAGTTAGATCGTTGTCCTTCTCTCAGTCTTGTTCCGAATTTTATGTGTTGCATGAGGTATTCATCCAGAGTTATTTTAAGTAGCTTGTGGTCAACTGACGTGGACGGCGCGTTTGTTAGGGGAATGTTCCAGTCTATTCATGGAGCTGTAAAGTCGCCCAGAAATAGTAAGTTCTCCTGCTTATATAACAACTTCAGTGCACTAAGTAATTCCACATCGGCGATTTCATTCTAGTTGGGAGGCCGATAGACAACAGGCAGGTTCAGTGTCGGTAATTGTTTGATACATATCTTGTATGGAATTATTTCAACATTTCGCGACGCCCCGTCCGTCTCGCTGACGGCACGGAATTTCATTTGCCACATTAATCGCTGTGCCTCCTCCTCAACGCTGAAATCTGTAACAGCGGAACAGTTGGAAGCCTTCAATACTGACTTCACTACTACTTATTTCCTCAGTCAACCATGTCTCTGTTAGGACAACTGTGTGAGGCTTCTGTTCAGCGACAAGTAATTTGAGTTCATCTAGTCTGTTGAGGAGATTCTGACAGTTGGTGAACTAGTTTTATAGACAGCGGCCGCTGGTGCTAGCAGCCCCAGAAGTTGGCACCTTTGCATCGGTTAGGCTGTCAGAATGACGGCCTTCGGCCAGAGAAATGTCCTTCTGACCTGAATTATTTGTCCGTTCTTGATTTGTAGGTGTTTCGCCGCTGCTTCTCCGCTTTTCCAGCTCCGTCATCAGCTCTCTCATTTTCATTCGCTTTTTGGCTCATAATCCAGCTGAAAAAAACTTCAGGATGCTGACCCCGTAGAGATGATTTTCTCTGTAACAGGAGCTGGGCCTGTGCTTCAGCCTCTTAAATGACTTTTAGGGGTCGAGGCCGGGAAGTGGAACCGGATGCTGACTGAGTCTTCCCTATTCGAAATGATTTGAGAACATTAAGTGACTAAACGCCTCTTAACAAATCTTTCGCATACACTTGAAGAAGCTCTAAGCCATGCTTAACTCTCTCCTTTGGAATTGTTATCAGCGACAGTTTGCACCTGGCTCAAACATACCGATAAGTTTTAAATTTCCAAAGTTACTTACAATCGCCTCTATTGCCGTTTGCCGATAGGAATACAAAGCTCAAGGGCGTATGCCTCATTTCTTCAATAAACTGGCTTAAACTGACTTGGGCCTCCCTAATCGCCTGGTTCGAATGGAATTCCTATAATAGCACTTCGAGAACTTGCTAATAAACTCTGTGAGCCATTGTCTACAATATTTCAAAAGTCATTTTAAGAAGTCGAACTCCTGGAAGACTGGAGATGCGCATTCGCCACCCCGTTCCATAATGAGGGTTAACGACTTGACTGCAAAAATTATGGACCTGACATTTTTTGGTGCGTTGCGTGTAAAATAACGGAGCACATTATCAAAAGACATCTGACGAAATACCTGGCAAAAACACAACATCCTGTGATGCCAAAATTGGCTTTCGTCCAGAAGATTTTTGCACCACGAGTATTATCTACTCGCAAGAGAAACGCATGTGGGCCACAGATAGGGGTTCTCCAGTAGATGTCCTATTTTGGCTTCATTAGTCCCATAGACAGCCTGATTTATAGACTTCTTTTATAAAAGCTTCCTGAAAGTAGCTAAAGGCTGCATCGTATGTCTGTAATTTCCATTCTCGAGAAATGTTACCCATTTTTTTTGGTTTGATGAACGAGGCTAGTCTTTAAAAAATTGAAAATGTCCAAAGACTTTTTTATAAAAAAAAACTTTTCGATAGGGTATATCCCAATATCTCCTAGTCAGCTAGATGCCAGCTAATTAACCTAAACGCTTTATATATTCGAAGACTAGAAGCAGGCTTCTGCCTCCTCTTTCCTATTCATAATCGTTCAGATCTTTCTCGAACTTCAGCACTTACCCCTAGTAGTCGCCCATACAATCTTCGTAACTCATTCTTGATTATACCTCCTCCAGCTTCCTCCACAGCTTATCGCTCTCTTTTTTTCGCTTCCAGATATACTTTCCTCTGGAATAACCTTCCAATAAATATAAGATCTTCAGATGATCTACACACATTTAGAAGAAGGCTAAGCCTTTATCTAAATACTGACTCAATTAAACTTTTATTTTCCTCATCCTTCCCGGACAACTTTCTCTATGACACTGAGAAAGGGCCACCAGGAATTTAGGACGCCACCATTAACTTTCCGTATCTGCTCACATTTCCTTCTTTGTGAGTCGTATCGCTTCCTAAGATCCCTCACCAGAAATTTTAATTTTTCCAATTTTTCAGTTTATGCATCGTGCCCTCACAGAATGCGCTCCATCGACACTCTTGGCGAAGCCTTCTGTATTCTCTATATACTAGTAGTCTGGTCGCCTCTCCGTTGTCCCCTCCTCGGATGGACTCGGCTGAATGTAACCGACCGCATCTGAGTTCCTATCGCCTCAAGACTGGTTTTCAGTTCGCCACTCCGACATGAATGGACTCATCCAGCATATGAATTCTGCCTTGATGATACCCGTTTCGGACCTTTTATGCAAGGCCACATACGGGCCAGTCCTGCCTGACTCGCCTACTTACCCCTTCATGAAATGCGTTATACAATACCATGTACAGCGACTATTTTCGTAGTTCTTGATGTTATCGTCCGCATTTCGAACTCAAGCGGTCTGTCGACGCTCACGGCGGAAGCCCCTGTATTCGCCGTCGACTGGTAGTTTGGTCGTACCTCCCTTTCCCACTCCTCGGCTCGGCTCGAAGCGGACTGTGACCAATCGCGTCTGGGTTCCTTTAGTCTGGCCTCTTTGACGTGAATGGTCTCATCCGGCGTATCAATCCTGCCCTGACGATATCCGTTCTGAATCCTGTATACAATACCACATCCTCTTATTTGGGCACTCGCACACAACGAGTTAAGATTTCCAATATAATCTCCAACCCCACACGTGTGAGGAGTGGAGTTCAGTTCAGTTCAGTTCAGTTTATTGAGGGAAATAGGCGTAAGCCTTTGAGTACCCTATTTGCAACGTAAAAAATGTGTGGTGTACAGATAGATGTTCTGGGCTGAAATAGTTCGAACACGCCCATAATGGTGGGACAAAATGAGAAGGCGTTACAGGGGGTGAGCTCGACTTTTCATCGCTCTTGGTCATTTCGGAACATAAATATGTCCAGATTCTTCTTAAAACTTTGTATAGATGGTGACATCACAACATCTGCGGGAAGCTCATTCCACGGTTTGACCACCCGAACCGAGAAGGAGAACTTCCGCACATCCAGCCGTGCCTGCTGAGTGCGTAGTTTTAAGGGGTGACCTCGGAGGTTGGTCGTGGTAGCAAATTCAAAAAAGTCCTCGAAGGCCAGACTGCAATCCAACCCCTTTACAATACGGAAGGCTTGCAAGAGATCTCCGCGAAGTTGCCTGTAACTCAAAGGAAAGAGGTTCAGATTTACTAGGCGGGTCGCATAAGGAAAGGAGCTTTGACCCCTGACCATCTTCGTGGCTCTCCTCTGGACTCTTTCGAGGCAGTTTTGATCCACAACAGCCCACGGCAGGTTTCTTAGGCCGTCCGCCAACTTCGTTGCTCTGCGTTCACCTGTTCTACTTGGTCAGTATACTTCCTCATCCATGGGTAGCTGCTGGCATTCCATATTCCAGGTGGGTATTACAAAGACGCCGAAAATTCTTTCGAAGCGTTCTTGAGGAAGTATTTTAAATACCCGTCTGATCCAGTATAAGGTACTATTTGCTTTCTAGATCGTATTTCACAGTATTCTGATGATATTGGATTTGTGGTCGTCCGTAACCCCAGATCCCCGTGTCTTTCTGCAGTTTCTAATGTCGGCCATGAAATAACTGTGCCTTAAGTCATTAAGGATCTGGGTCCATCGTACTCCAAGTATCTTAATCTTTCGAAGATTTGTGCCCCGACAGTCTCCAAAGCCCGCAAAACGGCCGGGTTTATCCACCGAAATTTCGCAACCAGCGAAATAAGAATGCACTTTTACAGAATGTACGTAAGAACGGGCCTGAAATACGGTTCCTTTTTATTTAGTCTCATGTGTGATGCTGAGCGCAAGAAAGTAGACTCCATCTAACATCTCTTATAAAAGAGAGTTTTGTCGTTTGACCACCAATACCTAACCCACCAGGGACGTTGCGAGTTCGCAGGCTTTGATCTCTTCTGATTTAGTTGGCTACAGAACGGACTGTTTTTACTCTTTTAGCTTT